TCTGGAGATAAAGTATAAGGGAGGATGTGGTAGGTTATATGTAAACACTACACCATTTTATATGAGGAACTTGAGCATCTGTGGATTTTGGTATCTGCAGGGGGTTGTGGAGCCAATCCCCCATGGGATATCAAGGGATGACTGCATGCGTGATGGGGCATGAGGAGGCCCTGAAGGTCAGTTACAGGAAGAAGCGGTGGGAACACTGACGGTCCTAACTCCTGCTACATCACGTTTTCTTTCCTAGCCCACATCTATGGCCTCATAGGGAGTTCCCTAACATCAACTGGGTGAGGAAGAGAAAACTTGGGCATGATTTATAGATGGTTCTGTACAATATCCAGGCACCAACCAGTGGATGCTGCGGTATTAGAGCACGCTGGAAGAACGGAGGTGAAGGGAAACAAAACTTTCCGCAGTGTACTTGGTTGTTCATTTTGCTTGGAAGAAGAAATATCCAGGTGTATGATTATACACCATTTCACGGGCCATGGTTAATGATTTGGCTGGGTGGCCACAGAGTTGTAATGAACGTGATTGTCAAATTGGTGATAAAGGGGTCTGGGGAATGCATATCTGAACAGACCTCTCTGAATGGGTAAAAAAAAAAAAGTGAAGATATTTGTATCTCATGTGAATTCTCACAAAAGGGTGACCTCGGCAGAGGAGGACTTTAAAAACTGAGTGAAAAGAATGATCTTTTCTCTGGACACCAGTCAGCCTCTTTCCCCAACCACCCTGGGGTTCATGAACAAAGTGGCCATGGTGGCAGGGATGGAGGTTATGCATAGGCTCAGCAACATAAGAATGTAAGCTCCAAGGGAAGGAGTGTGACTATTTGCTTCATACTTGTGTCCCCAGAGCCCAGCACAGCGCTATTGCATAGGAGCCCAACAAATAGTAGACTCTTGAACAACATGGGTTTGAACTGAGGGTCCACTTACAGACAGATTTTCTTCAGCCTCTGTACCCAAGACAGCAAGTCCAACCCTGCTTCTTCCTCCTCCTCCTCCTTAGCCTATTCAATGTGAAGACGACAGCGATAAAGACCTTTATGATGATCCACTTTCACTTAGTAAATATAATTTATCTTCCTTGTGATTTTTTTTTTTTTTTTTTGAGACAGAGTCTCGCTCTGTCGCCCAGGCTGGAGTGCAGTGGCGTGATCTTGGCTCACTGCAAGCTCTGCCTCCCGGGTTCACACCATTCTCCTGCCTCAGTCTCCTGAGCAGCCGGGACTACAGGCGCCCACCACCACGCCCAGCTAATTTTGTTTTTGTATTTTTAGTAGAGACGGGGTTTCACCATGTTAGCCAGGATGGTCTCGATCTCCTGACCTCGTGATCTGCCTGCCTCAGCCTCTCAAAGCGCTGGGATTACAAGTGTGAGCCATTGTGCCCGGCCATGATTTTCTTAATGACATTTTTTCTTTAGCTTGTTGTAAGCATACAGTATTTTATAATACATAGACAAAATATGTGTTAATTGGCTATTTATGTTATCAGCAAGGCTTCTAGTCAACAGTAGGCTATTAGCAGAAAAGTTCTGCTAATTAACTTTTAATTAATTAGCAGGAATTAATTAGGAGGAATTAAAGTTATATGCAGGTATTTGGCTGCACAAGGGTTGATGCCCCAACCTCTGCGTGGTTCAAGGATCAACTGTATCCGAATGAATAAATACACTGCAGAACAAGAACATGCTGCAGCTTATTAATAGTTTTACTTATTGACTTACTTAAAAAGAGATAGTGAACATTTGTGAAATTGTTTACAATTGAGATATCCATACACACAAGTCATGTGCTACGTGATGTTTTGATCAGTGACTAACTGCATATATGAGAGTGGTCCCACAAAATTATGATCCTATATTTTTACTATACTTTTCTCTGTTCAGATATACAAATACTTACCACAGTGTTACAACTGTGTACAGTATAGTGATGTGCTACACAGGTGCATAACTTAGGAGCAACAGGCTGTACCACATGGCCTAGGTGTGTAATAGGCTCTACCATCTAGGTTTGTGTCAGTGTACTCTATGATGTTGTTACGATGAAATCACCCAAGACACATTTCTCAGAATGTATCCCCATCATTAAGCAGCACAAGACTGTATATATACATTTGCTAATGTTTGTTATTTTTTTTTTTTTTTTTGAGACAGAGTCTCGCTCTGTCGCCCAGGCTGGAGTGCAGTGGCGCAATCTCAGCTCACTGCAAGCTCCGCCTCCCGGGTTCACGCCATTCTCCTGCCTCAGCCTCCCGAGTAGCTGGGACTATAGGCGCCCGCCACCGCGCCCGGCTAATTTTTTCTATTTTTAGTAGAGACGGGGTTTCAGCATGGTCTCGATCTTCTGACCTTGTGATCCGCCCGCCTCGGCCTCCCAATGTTTGTTATTTTTAATAGAGAAGTTTCTTCTTTGCTTTTTAGAAATTTTATATCAGTGAAAAGGGAAATACACTTAGAAAACAGTTTCAACTTTCATAGGCAAAACACACACGTGAAACACACATAGGACTGAGTGGATGTTTGCTAATTGCTGAGTCCATGGCCTATAGTATGAGGCACTAGTGTCATAACTACACTCCCACATCAGCAAACTCCTCCCTCTTAATATGCTCAATCATTTCTGTCTCACTCTTTCTTACCTCCTTTGCAACTCAAGTAAGAAAACAAACAATTTAGATGTTTGAGTATAGGAAATAGTTGCTGAGACCAGCTCCGTTGGGGAGACCCTAACCCAGTGGCGCTAGAGGAATTAAAGACACACACACACAAACTTAGCGGGTGGAGTGGGAAATCAGGGGACTCACAGCCTTCACAGCCGAGAGCCCCCAACAGATATTTATCCACATATTTGCTACCAGCAAGCCAGTGATATGCATTGTTTCTATAGATTATAGATTAACTAAAAGTATTCCTTACGGGAAACAAAGGGATCAAAACAAAGAGATGGGCTCTGGCTAGTTATCTGCAGCAGGAACATGTCCTTAAGGCACAGATCGCTCATGCTACTGTTTGTGGCTTAGGAACGCCTTTAAGCAGTCTTTCCCCCTGGGTGGGCCAGGTGTTCCTTGCCCTCATTCCAGTAAACCCACAACCTTCAGTGTGGGCGTCATGGCCATCACAAACATGCCACAGTGCTGCAGAGATTTTGTTTATGGCCAGATTTAGGGGCCTGTTCCCAGCAAATATTGGTTAAGTCTGTGCTTCAGACTAGATTTTTCAAGTCTACTGGCTTGTTTGAAAAATGCTTTTAGACAACACATCAGGTTTGTAACTTTTCACAAGTTTAAAATGTTTCAAAGGTCTTTGAAAATTATAAAGTCTTGAACTATCTCTATTTTAGTTTTCTGAGGGGTGCTGTTTTGACAGATTGGAAACTTTTTTATTTGAAAAAAAGCCATCACTCTTTCATTCAATTCAGTGCCTAGATGTTTCCTAAGGGCCTCGGGTAGTTGTGCCAGGAATCTGTGGCCAGTACTGACTTAGCCCACCGCTGCAAAGACAAAGGAATCCTTTCTCAGAAAAAACTCAAGACTGAATATGGTACACTGGATTTTCCAGAGACGGCTGTGAACAAGGCCTTTCGAAGGGTTTTTGGGATACACAGTCCCACATCCCCCTTCCCTCCCACTGCATTCACAATGGATCACCTCTCAATTAAATTTCACCAGCTCATCACCTGTATTTTTTTATTTGACTGGAAACACGGGCTTTTTAAACACACACGGGGCTCTCCTTTAGCCTACAGAAAGTGGGTATATCTTCACTACTTTTTCTTGCTCATAAAAATACATGCTTTCCACTAAACAAGTTAAATAATCACCCATAATTCACCCACAGGTTTGGTGTACTTTCTTCCAGTATTTTAAATATGCGAAGATACTGTTTTATTTGTATTTACTACCTGTGTAACTATATGCTTAGCCTTTTTCCCCCGCATTTATTTTTAATTCAGGGACTAGGTAGCCAGAGTCTGGCCTAGTGACTTCCGACCTTTCACTTGTGATCTCTTATCCATCTTCGGCCAGAGGCCTCTTTTTGTGGCCCAGCCTGATCTCTTGCGGACCTTGAACAAATATCTCCAGCTACTGCCAAATGCCTGAGATTTGTTAACCACACCATTACATTTATTTTTGCTAACACTACTTAACAAATAAGCTTTTCTAGAAGAGCTAGGGGGAATATGTCATCAGAGACTTGGAATGAAAACAAAATAGCCTTGGTAACCTACTTGTACCTGAGTCTTCCTCAGACTGCAAAGTGGCCACCAGCAATTCAGAGAGAGGCTCCAGTAAAAAAAAGCTTCACTTTTTATCACATAACCTAACCATCTTGAGGTTATGTGTCAAAGGAAGAAGACGTCTCCTTTTCTACCTAAAACCTACGAATCTGTGCCTATTCACTTTTCTAAAAAGTCAACTGCTTTCTTCTTTACTAAAACAATTTAGAGGCCGGGCGCAGTGGCTCACACTTGTAATCCCAACACTTTGGGAGGCTGAGGCGGGTGGATCACGAGGTTAGGAGTTCAAGACCAGCCTGGCCAAGATGGTGAAACCTTGTCTCTACTAAAAATACACCAGGTGTGGTGGCACGTGCCTGCAATCCCAGCTACTCGGGAGCCTGAGGCAGAGAATTACTTAAACCGGGGAGGCAAAGGTTGCAGTGAGCTGAGATCATGCCACTGCACTCCAGCCTAGGCGACAGAGTGAGACTTCGTCTCATTAAAAAAAAAAAAAAAAAAAAAAAATTTAGGTTTGTCCTTCCAAATTGTTTATCAAATTGTGGTAGATTCAGGAGTTGGGTTACACACAGTAACTGGGCAGCTGATAAAAATCTGTATTTTTATAACTAGAAGAGCTAGGAAGTCAGCTTTCTGCTAGCATCTTTCTCCTGGTATACCACTGGCACATGAAGCTATTATTTCAGAGCTCAATTATATTTCCTGACTACACAAAAAGTCAATGCATTAAAAAAAGAAAAGGCCCCCCTTTATATACGAATTAAAGTTTATTTTAAACTGTTTTATACATCTTTTTAAAAAATGAAAATTCAAAAGTCTTAGAATTAAGCAGTGAGTCTTTGATATCATAAAGCCGTGTATAACAGTAATTAAAATACTGGTAACATTTTACCCTTGTAAAAATGTCACAGAATTCAAATCTCAACTTGGATCCTCAATGATTCAAGTGGTTTATCTTACACAATAAGCATCTGGTCAGTTTCAAGATAAAATTCCCCCAGACATGCTTTCCTTACGTCCTTCCTCCTCACCATCCATCAGTTCACACAGTGGGGTAGCTGGCTGCTGTGGCGATTCCACAGTGGTTGTTCTTGTCTTTGGCTATTTTTACATAGCCATTCGAGCCCCATTCTGGACCCCAGCTGAAAGAGGAGCAGGTTTTCCATTTTATACAAAGAATCAAGGGAAAATTGGCTCCATTAATAATAATAGCTAATACTTAAACAGTGCTTTCCATGTGTCAGGCACTATTCTAAGTGCTGTTAATATCCATTTATAAATGTCTGGAGGCTGGGTGTGGTGGCTCACGCCTGTAATCCCAGCACTTTGGGAGGCTGAGGAGGGTGGATCACCTGAGGTTTCAGGAGTTCGAGACCAGCTTGATCAACATGGTGAAACCCTGCCTCTACTAAACTTAAAAAAAAAAGTTAACTGGGCATGTAATCCCAGCTACTTGGGAGGCTGAGGCAGGAGAATCATCATTTGAACCCAGGAGACAGAGGTTCCAGTGAGCCAAGATTGTACCACTGCACTTCAGCCTAGGCAAGAAGAGCAAAACTCCATCTCAAAAGAAAAACAAACAAACAAACAAAACCCCACAAAAATGAGCCCGATGTGTTGGCATATGCCTGTAGCCCCAGCTACTTGGAAGTCTGAGGCAAGAGAATCACTTGAACCTGGGAGGTGGAGACTGCAGTGAGCCGAGACTGAACCACTGTTCTCTTGCCTGAGTGACAGAGCAAGACTCCATCTCAAAATAAAATTGGCTGGGCATGGTGGCTCATGTCTGTAATCCCAGTGCTTTGGGAGGCCGAGGTGGGCAGATCACATGAGGTTAGGAGTTCGACAGCAGCCTGGCCTACATGGTGAAACCCTGTCTCTACTAAAAAATACAAAAAAAGTTAACTGGGTATGGTAGCACACCCTTGTAGTCCCAGCTACTTGGGAGGCTGAGGCAAGAGAATCACTTGAACCCAGGAGGTGGAGGCTGCAGTGAGCTGAGATCGCGCCACTGCACTCCAGCCTGGGTGACAGAGTGAGACTCTGTCTCAAAAAATAAATGAATGAATTAATGTATTGATTCTTGTGGGTCCTTAACTTTTTAAGAATACCGAGGCAGAACTGGAATTCCGCTGCAGCAGTGTGTCTCCACACGCTACCTTATTTCACATCTCAATTAAAGAATGCTAATTGTGAGAAAATGGATTCTCACAACCTTCAAAGCCTGAGAGCTAGGGAGTGAAATTCGATGACAAGGCATCCAATGACAACAGAAGGATGCACACAGACCACTGGACTCCCAGATGATCTTTTAGACTCAACAAAGAACCAGCAAAGGCAGATGTTTCTGTTTACTATTCTTTGTTGAAAAATTAGAGACAGAAAAAAGCAATCAGCTCTCAAACCTACAGGTCCACAATCCTTCGTCTGAAACCCTTGGGGCCTAATGTGTTTCAGAATTTAAAAATTTTCAAAACTTAGTAATAAAATATTACAAATACATAGCAGTAACTCCAAAAAGCTTGGTACGGAATCTTCTAATCAAACCTTAGTATTTCTGTGTTCACTCTAAGTAGAAGAAAGACTTCTGGAATTTCAAAATTGAGCTTTTGTGAACCTGTATCCAAATACTGATTTGAAACAAAGATTTCCTTTTCAATTTTGAGTTTTATACCTGTTTTTGATGAGCCAATACTTGTTGTTATCTGAATTTGCTCCTTCAAAGCCGTAGCCAACCACCAGAACACCATGATCCAGGTTTTTGCTGCTGCAGTCTGGTTCAAAATAAATGCCTGGGAGAGTGAAATCAATGCTGGGGTGAGAAGCTCCAAGTGACATGTGACAGTAACCCACCCCACCACCCTCCATAAGGGAGGCATCTCTAAATTCAGTGAAATGTCATAAACAAATGCCAAATAAGGACCCAAACAATACTGACCAGAAAATAGTAATGGCTGATAAAGGAAAAAAGTCAACCTCAACTCACTAGAAATCAACTAACTTCAACCAAAGTTCAAGATATTTTCTACCTAAGAAAAAGAAAATCCAATAGATAAAATCTATTGTTTACAGCTAAGGTAATTTAGATACTTATCTCTGAGCCCAAATACCAATTAGCATAATCCCTTTCTACTCCTAGGATGTCAGTCTAAAACAACACCAAAATAAACAAACAAAAACTTGAAGGGGGTTCTGGGTTCTTTACAGTTTTTTACTAATTACAGTAGTAAAAAACTTTTGAGAAAAAAAGACCCAATAACCGGAAAATAGTTTGGAAAATTAGGTTGTCTCTATATAATTACATAGCCATTTAAAAACATTTACGAGAAGTGTAACATAACTAAGCATTTTCTCATGGCAAATGCAAATATCACCATGTTAAATGCACACTCTCAAAATACTACATTCCTGCAAAGCAGGACTTCATATCAAAGAATCAATCATGGTGATGTTTCCCAATTCTGCCTAAATTTCTATAATAAAATGACACTTGCCTGATTTGTAGAACTGGAAGGACGAATGGCCTGCATCCATAGCAACAGAGATGGGCCCCACAGTTGCCACTGCTTTCATCAGGGCCTTCTCCTTTCCAGCTGGGACCACCTGGAAGCCGGTGTCATTAGCAACAGAATTCTCAGGTCTGTACTTACAGATTCCATCCTTTTAAAGTTAAAGGGGGAGAGACTCGATCACTACCATCTACCACCTGGGTAACATTAGTTCTAGAACCAAAACACTCGGCAATTTGCAACCTAGGATTTCCAAATTAACACCCTTATAAATCGTCCCATGAAATAAAATGCTATTCATTGATTTAAAAATGAAAAATTAGTCGATATTTCTTCAACGAGAACCCCTATGTCAATCTGTCCATAAAAAATTTTCACAATGGATCAAGTTCTATTATATGTAGAATGGTTTGCTTACTCTCCATGTTATGCAGAAGCAAGAACACCTATGTGTTAACCATCTAATGTTACTTATATGTTAACCATTAGCTGTTGACCATCTAATCGGAGAACTGTGCAAAGGCTAGTAATTTTTTTTTTTTGAGACAGAGTCTCGCTCTGCCACCGAGGCTGGAGTGCAGTGGTGCGATCTTGGCTCACTGCAAGCTCCACCTCCCGGGTTCACGCCACCTCCCGGGTTCACGCCACCTCCCGGGTTCACGCCATTCTCCTGCTTCAGTCTCCCAAGTAGCTGGGACTACAGGCGACCGCCACCAGGCCCAGCTAATTTTTTTTTTGTATTTTTAGTAGAGATGGGATTTCACCATGTTAGCCAGAGTTGTCTCAATCTCCTGACCTCGTGATTCGCCCATCTCGGCCTCCCGAAGTGCTGGGATTACAGGCGTGATTCACCATACCTGGCCAAAGGCTAATAGTTTATAATGACAATACTCACAGTTTGCAGATGTAGACTCTACCATATAAAATGTGAATTCTGAAAAAAGTATCTCTTATCTCTGAAAGGGTTTCACCTTCCAAAAGCAGAGCACGAATGACGAGGAGCTCCATTTACCATTGCTACATATGGATAGGATTCCTCAGAGTCCAGGCCTCCGTTCTCCTTGACATACTGGAAGGCGCGATTCATGAAGCCACCATTGCAGCCCTGATTGCCTTGAGAACGCGAACAGTCCACCAGATTCTGCTCGCTCAGTGAGACAAGTTTCCCAGTTTTCCGGAACATCTGTCCTTCAAGAGCACCAGTCGCACTAAAAGCCCAACAAGAACCACACTGTTTCTAAAAAGGGGGAAAAAAAGCTGTCAATGTACAAGACCAATATAAATACAGTAGCCCATATATTTGAATTATCTGAATATTCTTTTAAAAAAACAAAAACCAAAAAACCCATCACCACCCTTTGGGAGGCCGAGGCGGGCAGATCACTTGAGGAGAGCAGTTTGAGACCAGCCTGGCCAACATGGTGAAACCCTGTCTCTACCAAAAATACACAAAAATTAGCTGGGCATGGTGGTGAGCACTTGTAATCCCAGCTACTCAGGACGCAGAGGCAGAGGCAGAATTGCTTGAACCCAGGAGGCAGAGGTTGCAGTGAGCCGAGACCATGCCATTGCAATCCAGCCTGGGCAACAAGAGCAAAACTCTGTCTCAAAAAAAAAAAAAAAAACACACCAAAAACCAAAATACAAAAAAACCCATCATCATATGTTGTGCCACCATCTACCACAGCAATGACACCAATTCCTTCTTGGCTTTCCAGTAGAGACGGGAGGTCTGAATCTGACGCTGCCTCACCTGATTCTTCACTGGCGTCACGTAGCCTTTCTTTCTCCAATCCACAGATTTGGGAAGATCAAGAAACAGAGGCTCACGGAACAGTTTCCCCTTCCTGAGTTTCTGGTTTCGAAAGCAACCCATCACCTGCCTGAATTCTTCATTGGTCTTCAAGGAGAAGTAAATAAAATGTTAAAAGCAAGACTATTTCGGTGAAGAACTGAGGAGAAGCAGCACAGAGTTCAGCAATCCTCGCCACACTCACCATGTCACCAAAAGCATTCATGGCCATTGTGAAGCCATGTTTCCCTTGGCTGTATTCCCCATTGTGCAGTTCAATCATTTTCATATTCTTTTCCCACACTGCTCTCCTCCATCCTTCTTCACTCTAGAGGCAAACATACAGCTGATGGACTTTATGTCTACTTACCCAATCCATGTTCACCCAGCCGATTTGCAGGCAGAAATGAAGAGAAACCATGGCCAGGGATGGCTTGATACATCTCTGGGAGCTGCTCTCCAAGCAGAAACACAATGGAGATATATGCCCATACTGCATCTATAATGGGTGCTGTTAGGTTATTGCCTGGTAAGGTCTGGCCTCTAGAAGCTACTCTCTGGCTATCAACTCCCAACAGCAAGGACCATCTCTATAGAGTCCCTCTGGACAGTTTCAGATGTTACCAACCGCGCCATATAATCGTCTATGTGTTGCCTTCCACTGGTACCACTTTGTATCCAAATTTTGGTCAAATTTTGGAACAGCGGAGGCTATTCCCAAGCAAAAGGCAGCTAGGACGAGCGAAAGATTCATGTTTCAAAACCTAGAAAGGGAAAAGAAATGAGTATCTGATTAGACCAATCCTAAAAAGCCATCTTACAGCCCCGGTGGAATAAAAATATTTCAATTATTCTCCCTGGCATTTCCCCAAGGACTGTGGAACAGGCTGAAACAGGCCTACTGGAGGTATTTGATGGGCCCATCAAGATGAAAAGCAGCCTGCGGAGTTGGAGGTGTTGAAACAGCATATGCGATAATTCAGGGTATGAGAAGGGTGTGAAGATACCTGACGGGTGAGAAGCTTAAGGGGAAAACTAGGAAACAGCTGGTCCAGCTTTTGCACCAATTGTACTGAGGTCATCCAGGCAAAACGTCACTAATGAAGACATACCATCCCAAGTAGGTGCAAGCGGATCCCCAAGGAACACCACCTCACACCTTCTTGGCTGATACACAGCAGGAGATGCTATGTCTTCCAACTTCTCCTTTTGGAATAAAACCTTTGTGGAATCCCTTTCCAGGAGACACTGGGAAGGAGAGCACCCACTACTTCCGCCGTCCCACACCTGGGTCTCTGCGTCTCGTTCCCCTAAACCCGGGCAGGGTCAGGCAGCTCCCGGGGCTCCGGGCGGGCCAGGGCCACGGCCGCGCCGCCTGCTCTCGCCCTCCGCACGCGCCCGCCGCGCCGCGAGAATGTTTGCGTCGGCGCACGGAGCCGGGGCTCCGCAGCCGGGATGCGGGGGTGAAGCCGCCCGGTCCGGCTCGGCTTCAGCCCGCAGGGTGACCGACCTGCACCGCCTGGGCCCTCCCAGTGGTCCCGGCGCCTCCCGGGGGTCCCCAACCGCCCTCCCCCGTCCCCCACCTCGAGGCTGGCAGAGCGCTGGGCAGCAGCTCTCACTCTCAGGGGTCGCGCCCGCCTCCTCTCAGTGTCCCTGGGTTCCCTCCTCCAGTCCCCCTTCGCCCTGCCCCTCGGTCTGGTGGGGGGCGCTCACCAGCAGCCGTCGCAGCTGCGCAGGCGCCCTCGCTAACAAGCCTCGGGCTAACACACCTCCGCGGCTCTGGAGCACGGGCGCCCGACTCGGGATTTAAGTTTCCAGGCGGCCTTCCCCGCCCCCACCGCCTGCCCGCGCTGCGATTGGCTGCGCCGGCCACTGGGCGGGGCCCCGGGCGCTCGGAGCCCGCACGTGACGCAGCCCGGTCCCCACCTGTCTCAGGTCTGGGCGCGCCTACCTCGGTGAACCCGGGCTGCGGGGAGCGGAGCCGGGCCCCCGGGGGCTGCGCGGAGGAGCGGGAGGCGCCTCCCTGAAGGGCTCAGATCTACCGAGTACCCCAACTTACTGCGCTGAGCAGCTTGAGAGTGGAGGAAATTGCTTTTACTTACCTACTGTCAGATTGTGGATTACAACGTCTCTTCCTCAGTATTCAAAGTGTGCTTTTGAGATTGAATAACTTTACTTTAAAAATATTTAATATCGGCCGGGCGCGGTGGCTCACGCCTGTAATCCCAGCACTTTGGGAGGCCGAGGCGGACGGATCACGAGGTCATGAGATCGAGACCATCCTTGCCAACATGGTGAAACCCCGTCTCTATTAAAAATGCAAACATTAGCTGGGCGTGGTGGCACGCGCCTGTAGTCCCAGCTATTCAGGAGGCTGAGGCAGGAGAATTGCTTGAACCCGGGAGGCGGAGGTTGCAGTGAACTGAGATCGTGCTACTGCACTCCAGCCTGGCCACAGAGTGAAACTCTGTCTCAAAAAGTAAAATAAAATAAAATAAAATATTTAATATCAGGGTTGAGGTGATGCAGTTTGAGGTACTGCTCTTTATGGAGAAATATATGTAGCTAAAGATTTAAGGAAATCAATAATTCAGAAACGTTTCTAATTCCTTTTAAAGTTATATAAAACATCCTTTATAAAAAATATGTTTTAGAAAATAAACGTCCCTTGTCCCCTCTCCATAACCCTTTCCTAGGCATATCTTTTTTTTTTTTTTTTTTTACAAAATGAAGTTATAATGCATATTGATTAATAAACTCTTAAAGATTAAATTGAATAATATGCACAGTTTTTACTTGTTAATTTGAAAATTTGTTAAATCAAGTTTAGCCTAAAGCTGCCTCCCTATATTATTTACATTTGGTCTGAAGGTTTCTCTGTACATAGCGAATTGTCACCTAAATGGAGGTGTAAACAGACTGTAGCCTGCTCTTGTGCCCATCCCTGAAGTTCTGTGAATCAGAGAGGTTCAATTGTTCAAACCATGTTCAAATAAGGCAAACATGAAGCTGTAACCAATCCTGCAGTTTCTGTGCCTCACTTGCCCTTTTCTGTCTATAAATCTTCCCCCATGTGGCTGTGCTGGAGTCTCTCTCAGCCTAGTCTGGCACCAGAGGCTGCCAGATTCACGAATCGTTCTTTGCTCAATTAAATTCTCTTAAATTTAATTTGGCTATGGATTTTCTTTTAGCAAATTAAAAACAAACCGACAATTTCTCAGAAGCACCATCAGGCAAATACATGCTTTTAAAAATGAATTTATTAATAATTATATGTCCTTCCTTTAAAGAAATAGCAGCTTTTCCCTCTCAAACACAACTAGGGGCCAAAGCTCTCAGGTGGTTATATAAAAAATACAAAAGTATATTGTATTGCAGGCCAAGGTAGGTGGATCTCCTGAGCCCAGGAGTTTGAGACCAGCCTGGGCAACATGGCGAAATCACACCTCTACCAAAAATACAAAACAAACCAACAAAAATTAGCCAGGCATGGTGACGCAGAGCATGCGCCACTGCACTCCAGCCTGGGATACCGTCTCAAAACAAAAACAAAAACAAAAACAAAACAAAACAAAAGCGTGTTGTACTGCAAATAGCTGGAGTTTTTTTTTTTCTTTTTTAAAAATTAGTCATTGTGTTGAACACAATCACCATTCACATGTGGAAATAAATGAAGACCACCACATAAGAACACACAGAGGCCATATATTCAGAACTTGCTATGACAAGGGAGATAATTCAAAGACAAGGGAGAAGAAAAGCTTTAGGGGAAAAAGGGGGCAACTTCAGATATGTCCTCTTTGCAGAGTGTCATCATGGAGAAGCTGGAGGAGGGATAACTAGAGATGGAGCATCTTATGTGATTTGTTTGTGGAGCATGTTTGGGTTTTCTGGTTTGTCCTGGGTTGGAAGCAGAGGCAAAAATGAGGAAGTTGTCAGTCACTGAGTAAGTCCTGACTGTTCTGAGTGGGTCTCTGCAGATATTATGCTTCATTTCTTCCGTGGGTCAGAGGTCTATTGCCATATACTGTGACCATTGTCTATTTGTTTACTCAGTCTATCACAAGAAAGCTAAGTTATTCTAACACGTGGGTTTTACAGTTGCCCTTGGGCCACAGCTCCCTAAGATCGTAGGGTGGAGAAACCTGCCAGGCCATGAAGATCTGCGCCTTAAGCAGTAGCCTGACAGCAGACGAGTGGCAGGTGCTGCCCTGAAGAATGGCATCCCCTTGGTTTTTTGGAATGTGAGACAAATGTAGTGGAGAAAACATAGACGCTTTTCAAACCAAGTGTGCTCAAAATCTAAAATTATACCAGAAATATGTAAAAGCGGAAGAAATATGGGAGAAAGCCAATAAGCAAGATGCTGGAAGACGTTATGGCTTCAACTTAGGACACCTCTTTGTATCTATTCATATCTGTAAAAAAATGCATTACAGAAATGTGATATTACTAGCCAGGACAGATATATTTAAATATTTGTTTCTTTCCTTACTCATCTCTTCCTATTTCTTTGCAAAATAATTTTGATGAGTGATAAATTTTAAAATGGTCACATTTTAGTGAAGCAACCGAGCCTTGGCTATGCCTTTACTAAAATGGAGTTGGCAGAACTTCCTGATTCCTATTTAAAACGCAGTGCCTGTGAAAGTATATTCTCACGTGCATCTGTGTGGCTTTCTTTTACTCACTATTAAAAGAGGATATAGGCCAGGCATGGTGGCTCACGTCTGTAATCCCAGCACTTTGGGAGGCAGAAGCGGATGGATTACTTGAGGTCAGGAGTTCGAGACCAGCCTGGCCAACATAGTGAAACCCCATCCCTACTAAAAATACAAAAAACAATTAGCCGGGTGTGGTGGTGCATGCCTGTAGTCCCAGCTACTCGGGAGGCTGAGGCAGGAGAATCGCTTGAACCCGGGAGGCAGAGGTTGCAATGAGCCGAGATTGTGCCATTGCACTCTAGCCTGGGCAACAGAGTGGGACTCTGTCCTAAAAATAAATAAATAAATACATAAGGATATAATTCTTTACCCAGTCTTTGGAAGTTTTAAACCGTAGGGGAACTGGTAAACTTAGTGTGGTGGCATTCAAGACCCTGACATCACTTAATACCTCTCCCCAATATAACCCCCTCCGATTTGTTTAAATTCACTGAGCCAAGAATTACTTGTAAGAAGCATTATCCAGCAAACTGCCCACTTGCAAAATGGTTTATCACCATTGATAATCATACAACAAACAGCCTGTTTATGATTTGAGGTTCATATGAAACCACTTATGAAATAACTACTTTTCTGGGTTACTGTAACTGTGCTTTTCCTGTAGAGTGCAACTATCAGCCAATTCATCGAGCACATAGTAAATCAATCAATGAGAATTCAGCTCTTACTTGGTACCAGTTCTCCTCTTCTGGTGTAGCATGAGCATTCACTTCCACATTCTTAGCTTTCCTAACAGCTTTCTGAGGTTCAGCCTTTCCATATTTAAATATGTGGTTCACTATAGTAATTTCAGTTCTACAGCAAATCGAACAGGACAGATATATTTAAATGGAACTATGGTGAAGCATTTTTGTATAGTAGGTAACAAGGAAACCAATTCACAAGAGAAATGGTGGAATTTCTCTCCTCCTCTAAAAGAGTAATCCACAAACTCTCAGCCAAATCTAAAAAATTCTTCAAACCTCAAAAAGTCTTTTCAAGAAACAAGGTGTATTCATTTCCTGTGTCTGCTGTAACAAATCCCCACAAACTTGGTGGCTTGAAACAGGAGTCCTTTATTCAGTCACAGTTATGGAGGCCAGAAGTCCTAAATCAGCATCACTGTGCTAAAGACCAGGTGTGATAGGGCTCCCTCCCTTCCTCCCTCCTGAGGTTCTAGGGGAGAATCTGGGCCTTGCCTCTCCCAGCACTGGTGGTTGCTCGCATTCCTTGACTTGTGGCCGCATCACTCCAATCTCTATGACTACATTGCCATCTCTTCTGTCTGTGTCTAATCTCCCTCCCATTTCTTCTGTCTGTGTCTAATCTCTCTCCCTCTTATAAAGACACCTGTGATTGCATTTAGGGCTCACCCAGGTAACCCAGGATAACCGTTCCATTTCAGAACTCTTCATGGATTCACATTTACAAAGTCTTTGCTGTATAAGATAATAGCTTCAGGGGCCAGGAATTAAGACCTGTTGTTAGTAGGGGCTATAAACATCCTGCTACACATGGCATAAATAAAAATCAGTTTCTTGACAATGCTGATGAAAACTTTGTGTTTATTATAACTCGAGGCTGGCTGGGCGCAGTGGCTTGCCTGTAATCCCAACACTTTGGGAGGCTGAGGCGAGCAGATTACTTGAGGTCAGGAGTTTGAGACCAGCCTGGCCAACATGGTGAAAAACCATCTCTACTCAAAACACAAAAATTAGCCAGGCGGGGTGGCGAGTGCCTGTAATCCCAGCTACTCGGGAGGCTGAGGCAGGAGAATTGCTTGAACCCTGGAGGCAGAGGTTGCAATGAGCCAAGATCATGCCACTGCACTCCAGCCAGGACAACAGAGTGAGACTCTGTCTCAAAATTTAAAAAAAAATTAAAAAAAAAAAAAAAACAAAACTCAAGGCTGGCTTGACTAGACAGTTGGGCCCTACACTCCCTGGGAACTTCCCACACTGTGACTTCTTTGCTCCATCTCAGCCTCAGATCCCTGCCTCAGGTACCTGAATACTGGCAACATTTCCTGCCTTGCGTTTCCCTTGCAAAGCTTGACACAGCCTTTTAAGTTTCAAGACCCTGGCCAGGTGTAGTGAGTGGCTCATGTCTGTAATCCCAGCACTATGGAAGGCGGAGGTGGGAGGATTGCCTGAGGTCAGGAGTTTGAGACCAGCCTGAGGAACACAGGGAGAACTTGTCTCTACGAAAAATAAATAAAAATAGCCAAGCATGGCGGTGTATGCTGTAGT